CTATTCAGATATAAAACAGGTAGAGGGCTGGCAAAAGCAGGGCATGCTTCTCTATACCACTCAACCAGTGTGCCATCCCCCTGGTCTGACAGGACTACAACTAGGGATGAGGGGAGTCCCCATAACCAGTTTAAGCAATCACAGAGCTGTATATTTTTTAAACTTCACACTAACTAAACTGTGTGTACTGTATCTATAAGGTGGATTTTCTTCTCACACTCTGGCGTTTGCATTTGACCTGACAAATCAGGATGAACATTGAAAAAAGGAATATTATTTGTGGGTGAAGGATTTGGGGATGGCAATATTAATGTTGTCTGTATTTGGGAATCATCTTGTTCACACGTATTTTGCACTGTAGTATGCCATCGATTCTGCCACCCTTATTCATGTTGAGTAGTATCTTACACTGCCAGTTGTCCCATTGAAATTAATTATTTTTAGGGTGCTCAGAGCTTCTGTATGGATAAAATTATTGTTAAATCTAAAGAAATAAAACAAAACAAAATATGACAGTTCTAAGGTAATGGAATTAAAAGTGGCAGAATCTGACCCTTATTTTCCATTTTGATATCACAGAACCTAAAATAATTGAATAGGAAGAAAGAGAGACAAAAAAGATGAAGATGGGCAGGAATCAAATTACAGAATTATTATGATTAATTATTATCATCATTTATATTATGGCAGTGCCCAAAAGCCACAATTAGTGTGGTGTTCTACTGTGCTGAGCACTATACAAACATAAAAAAGAGACAATCTTTGATTTGAAGGGCTTCCAATCTAAAGGTACAAACAGACAGTGGGTAGGGACAAATGAACCTAGTAAAGAATTGGCACTGCTTTGTTAGATACTTAGATTGTATTTTTTTTTAATTGGGATAGAGGTAGGGAAGAAGGGAGTAGGAAAAGGAAAGAAGGGGAAGAGTAATAGTCACTGCCAGGGCTGCCCAGAGGGGCGGGCAAGTGGGGCAATTTGCCCCAGGCCCCGGGCCCCACAGGGGCCCCCACAAGAATATAGTATTCTATTGTATTGCAACTTTTTTTTTATGGAAGGGGCCCCCAAAATTGCTTTGCCCCAGGCCCCCTGAATCCTCTGGGTGGCCCTGGTCAGAGCTTATGGATATCGTTCTTAGTGTGATCAACTAAGGAAAATAGATACCAGACCTTTAAATATTTCTTATCAATATGTCTGAAACGTGATCCTCTTTAAAACTCAACACGCTAGTCCTAGTAACTGTGGTGTAATGAATTACTTAGAAACAGTTATGATGCCATCGCAGATGCTGTGATATGGAAATATTCCTCTGGTCCATGTATGCATTAACTTAACTTAAAGCACATGCATAGGTCTTTGCAGGATCAGGGCCTTATTTTGGAAGAGAAAATCCAAACCATCTCATATATGTAAGATTACAAAATATAGCCTTGTGGATATATTTTCATATTGTGGCTGTACAATTGTAAAAGGTGAGTTGTAGTAATGGAATTCTTTAAGATACAAATTTTTGAGCTAGCAGATATCTTCACATATTGTCAGTTTAACATACACATGTGCACACACACACACACATATTAGTCTTAACTGTTTGCTTGAAGTTGGTTCATTTCTCAGCTCAGGCATTAAAATTCAGTCTGAGTCCTGTCTTTAAATTGCTTTGATGCTAGGTGGGTTTCAACCCTGACCTGTCCTGACGGCAAGTGATGGCTGTAACAAGCTCTGGATCAATATTCATAGCGGGTGTCCTGGACTGATAACACTATCCAAGACAATGTTCACTATCAGTGTGGACAGCTGAGATATTGCACCATTAGCGATGTTGTTTTAAATAACCTGATCCATTTCTGGGTCTATTTAATGAATTTCACTGTTTAGATATTATCTGTAAGGAGAAGCCAGCGGCTATTCCAGAAGCAGTGATGCAAATCAGTGGTGCCAAGGCTACTCTGCTTTTTTTCAAAACAAAGTGGACTATAATTCCAACACAGTTTCTTATATTTTATGTGAATTGTGGCAGGCTATTGCTAGTATTAAGAACAAAAACTATCTGCATTGTATCAAGGGGAAAACAATATTATCGGTAAGGCTGGAACACAACTCATAAAATCTTACCCGTGATTATAAAATAGTGAGGATTAGTCCAATTCTTTATATGCAGGCTAGTGTTTTTTCAATTGTTTCTATGAGGTAGTGGGATGTACTGTATGTAAAGGCACAAACTTTGTAAGGTACAGCTTAGTCTGTATTTTGGCTGGGTCAAAATGGTCTTGCCAGGCTTTCTGTTACTTTTTTGATCAACACAGCCTCAGTTAAAATAAATATGCTCTCTATGGGTTCCATTTTATACTTACATCAAATCTCTACTACACTGCAAAAATGTGCATGGTAATATGCCTGTGCTGCAAATGCTGAGCTTAAAAAGCAGTCAATATAACAAATGGGATCCGAGCTAGCAACCCATATTTATACCAAGTCATTCTACTGAATTCAGTGCACAGTGCCTCTGGAAATCAGGCTCTATGTGCCTAAGTCAGGCAAAAACGGAGGCCCCCCCCCCAAATTAGAGGGCACTTTTGAAAACTGAGGCCCTAATGTGAAGGTGACCATATTTTCAAAATCAAAACCCAAGACACTTTTGTGGCAACATTTTCAGGGTCATGGAATACTTCCACAAAAGACAAACAAAACTACACTTTTAAAAAATAAGTGTGTGCCATTGTTACTACTGGCAGCGTCTGACTCAACAATAGTGGCATGTATATTTCTTAGAATGGAGGATTTTTTTCCAGTAAGTTAGTGTCCCAATGAGTTTATTGTGAAACATTGAAGAAGTGTTGTTAACATTTGCTCTGAGCAAAAGAGCAGCTTTCATAGTGTCTACATACTTTGGAATTTTCTCTTTATTCAAACACTCTTTATCATGCTGACCACTCATTTTCTCAACTGTTTGTTACTGGTAACCACAGATGCAAATTCTGTTCATTATAGCAATATGTCTATTTTATTCAGTTCTATTCTATTCTATTCTATTCTGGTTCTTATACCATCCTCATCCCCATAGTATTGGAGCCCCTTCCAGTAGCGCATTAAGCAACATGGCTAACGTGTCACATGGTTTAATCTTTCTCTTATCAATTTAATGGGCTCTCTTGTATACAATCTCATCCCAGAAGCCAAGGAGTGAATAGGTGCTGCCTTCTTTTCCCTGGGGGTGGTCCCTTCAATAGAGAACTGAGGAACAGAGGGTAGCGCAATGTGGAGAAGCTTCCACTGCAGCCTGCATTGTGGGGAGAAGTAGAGGATGTCAGTTTCCATGGTTGGCAATCTGCAACCTTCCATTAAAATAATAAAAGCAAGATAATATAAAGAATTTAAAATTGTTTCTCTCCTTGCCCTGCTTTTTTGCAGCCTTTTAAAATTACAGGCAGAGCACATAGCAATGCCTGTAGTTAAGGCTGCACAAGCCTTTCCTCCCTGATGAGTCATTTTCAGGTGCCTGTAACTTACTCAGGCTGCTATTCTGAAGGTTTGGTCTCAGCCCAGGAGTGATTTCTTTAAATGGAAGATTTGAATAAAAAGAGTTTCTGTTGAGATTCATGACAGTTTTACCATTAACTTCATTAGGATGGGGATCAGATTCTATGTCTGTGAGTGATCTGAAGTGTGACCATACAAGATAGTCGCTTACTATGTGTTTGTTCAGTGCCTAGTACACAGGGACCCTCATCTTGGCTGTGGGTTGTAGATACTACTGTAATGACTTGTAAAAGGCTGGGCGACGTGTGCTTGGTAGTGATGATGATTGCTAAGTGCAAGACCTTAGCATGATAGTAATTACTATTATTTATTATAAAAGACCACAAATGAAGCAGATTGTGACCTGAAGTTGTATATAGACGCTTTCTTCAAGACAGCCGCCATGAGAATCTGTTTCTCCCCCTGCTCACTGTCATCACTAGCAGCGAATCGAAAATGCTGCCTGCCTGCTAGTCCCCATTCCACCTGCCCCTCTCCCCCATGTATGATGGGTCCCACACACCCTTTCCCCTCCCCCCCCAGTGTATGCTGGGTGCCATACACCATTCCCCCTCCCCCCAGCCTCTCCCAAATGTATGCTGGGTTCCACACCCTATTTCCCCTCCCGCCAATGTATGCTGGATGCCACACCCCATTCCCTCTCCCCTCCCCAATGTATGCTGGGTGCCACACACCATTCCACCTCCCCCTCAGCCCCTCCCCAATGTATGCTGGGTGCCACACACCATTCCACCTCCCCCTCAGCCCCTCCCCAATGTATGCGGGATGCCACACACCATTCCACCTCCCCTTCATCCACCCCATGTATGATGGGTGCCACACACCATTCCACCTCCCTCTCACCCCTCCCACCGTATGCTGGGTGCTACACCCCGTTTCCCCTCCCCCCGATGTATGCTGGGCGCCACATCCCATTCCCCTCCCCCCCATGTATGCTGGGTACCACACACCGTTCCCCCTCAACCTCACTCCCCCAATGTATGATGGGTACCACACTCCTTTCCACACACCCCATTTATCCTGGGTGCCACACCCTGTTCCACTCCCCTCAGCCCCTCCCCCGTGTATGCTGGGTGCCACACCCCGGTCCCCCTCCCAATATATGCTGGGTGCCACACCCCGTTTCCTCTCCCCGCCATGTATGCTGGGTGCAACACACCGTTTCTCCTCACCCTCACTCCCCCAATATATGATGGGTACCACACTCCATTCCATCCCCCACCATGTATGCTGGGTGCCACACACCGTTTCCACCCCCATGTATGCTGAGTCACACCCCGTTCCACCCCTCTCAGCCCCTCCCCAATATATGTTGGGTGCCACACCCCGTTCCATTTCCCCCTCACTCCCCCCCATGTATGCTGGGTGCCACACCCCGTTCCATCATCTCCCCCCCACCACACACACACTTTGCCTTCTCCTGCTGAAATTACCACCAATGAAAAACTACATTTCCCAGCGGCCCTTGCGGAAGGAAGCGCTCTGGACTCGGCGGAGTTAAGTTGACCTTATGCACCAGCTGCAAGCCGCAGGCCGGGCTGTGCGCGCTATGGCTGAGTGGGCAAAGCAGCTTGCAGGCATTAAGGGAGTGATGCTCGATATCAGTGGGGTCTTGTATGACAGTGGAGGAGAAGGAGGCGGAGTTCCTATCCCCGGATCTATAGAAGCTGTGGAAAAGTAAGTGCCAGCAGCAGAGCTAGTGCGTTACAGCCCCGGCGGCTGTGCCCTCTCCTCCCCCTGCCCCGCCTCCCCGGCACGCTGCGAGGGGCGCCGCCCCCTCCCTCCTTGCAGCTGTGCGGGGCCGCCCACTTCTCGGCGGGCGCCAGGTTCAGCCAGGGGCCGCGGTGTCCTGCCGGGCTCCCTTCTCTCTCTGCTTCCAGCCGCTCCCAGGAAAAGGGTCCAAACTCCTGCGGGTTTGGAGCATGCGATCCCAGCTCTGTGTGCAGGGGAAGGGAAGCAGAGCCATTGGCTGCAGGCCTGGGGGAGAGAGCCCAGCAGGCCACGCCTGGGTGCCATACGCCGTGCCCCATTGCCTGCCACCTCTCCTGGGTGCTATACACCATGGCACACTTCAACCCCCCCAGTGTATGCTGGGTGCCACACCCCTTTTCCCCTCCCCCCAATGTATGCTGGGTGACACACAGAATTCCCCCTCAGCCCCCCCTGCAATGTGTGCTAGGTGCCGCCTCCCATTCCAACTCCCCCTCACACCTCTGCCATATACTGTGGGTGCCATACGCCATTCCACATAGCCTGACGTGTATCCTGGGTACCACACATCATTCTACATTGCCCCCTGGATGCCATACACCATTTCACCTGCCCTCCAACCCCACCCCAAATGTACCCTGGGTGCCAATCACCATTCCACAATTTCACCTCTCTTCCCCCTGACTCCCAGGCCATGTATCCTGAGTACCAAACAGCATTCCACATTTTACTTCTCCCTCATATCATGTATACTGGGTGCGACACACTATTCCACATTTCACCTACCCCTGCTGCCGTGTATACTGGGTGCCACATGTCATTTTACATTGTTTCCCACTATGTACTTTCCCCCTGGTATGCTGGTTGTTATACACCATTCCCACATACTTTCCCTTCCATCTGCTATGCATCTTCAGTGCTACACAATGCTCCGTGTATGCTCTCCGCCTCCTGCCATTCACCCTTGTATTGCCTCCTCCTTAGGTCAATCCCCATCTCTTATAAAAGGTGCTAAAAGCACATTCATGTCATTGAAGGAGCAGGGGAAGACAGAACCATAGTTTATATTACAGTGGTTCTCAAACTTTTGTACTGGTGACCCCTTTCACATAGCAAGCCTGTGGGTGTGACCCCCTCCTTATAAATTAAAAACACTTGTTTATATATTTAACACCATTATAAATGCTGGAGGCAAAGTGGGGTTTGGGTGGAGGCTGACAGCTCGTGACCCCCTATGTAATAACCTCGCGACCTCCTGAGGGGCCCCAACCCCTAGTTTGAGAACCCTTGGTTTATAAGGTCTTATCTGAAAGTCATTCTTGTGCCCTCCATCTTCAAAACAATAAATTGACTGGTGCTAAATCTCTCTCTGGTGGAATTACTAAGTGAATCCTGCCACATTTGGGACCTGCAATTTCAGGGATCCTGATCTTCCAGAAGTGATGCTTAGATCTCCAAGCCATTCCCACCCAATAAAATTGGTCTTTGGCCTCTGTTAAATTTTATCCTGTTTGACATATGAGTTTTTCTAAGACTCTAATCCAAAACTCTTTCAAGTGAAAGGGAGTCCTTCCATTGATTTCACTGGTCTTTGGATTGGGCTTTTTTTAGTTTTGTAAACTCTGACTCTGTGGCTACATGGTTTGTCTGCAGAGGAGCAGCCCTCTCCTGACTCTTAGGCTGTATTATCGATATACTGAAAGTGTGGGTATGTTTTTAAAGTAAAACTTTAGCATTCTTTTTCTAAAAGAAATAATTCAAACAGCTTTTCAGGAGGTGCCAGTGTACCTATAGCAACTAGGGCATTGTGCTTTGGTTTTCAGAGGCGCTGAGCATTGGCAGTTTACAACAGTGGCTCTCAACCTTTCCAGACTGCTGTACCCTTTTCAGGAGTCTGAGCTGTCTTGTGTACCCCCAAGTTTCACCTCACTTAAAAACTTTTTGCTTACAAAATCAGACATAAAAATACAAAAGTGTCACAGCACACTACTACTGAATTTTTTTTGTTACCATATAATTATAAAATAATTTGATATAATAATCAATAATAAATCAATTGGAATGTAAGTATTGTACTTACACTTCAGTGTATAATATACAGAGCAGTATAAACATGTCATTATATGAAATTTTAGTTTGTACTGACTTTGCTAGTGCTTTTTATGTAGCCTGCTGTAAAACTAGGCAAATATCTAGATGTTGATGTACCCCCTGGAAGATGTCTGCATACCTCCAGGGGTACACCTATCTCTGGTTGAGAACCACTGGCCTACTGGATCGAGCACTGGACTAGGAGTCAGGAGACCTGAGTTCTGCCACTAGAGGGCTAGGTGACCTTGGCCAAGTCACTTCATCTTCTAGTGCCCCAATTTCCTCATCAGTAAAATGGGGATAATTTTGCTTACCTCCTTTGTGAAGTGCTTTGAAATCGGATGTAAAGTGCTACCAAAGAGCTAGATATTATTTATAATTACTGTTCTGTCATCAGGATATATAGTGTCCAGCCACAGACCCTTTTGCTTAATTATGCTACGTGTTCCATGGTATTTAAAGGGTTACATTTTCTTATTTGGCTCAACTTAGTGGAATTATATCCAAAAATAAAGTAGGATCAGGGTAAAAAAATAGACTTTCCAGACCTCAAATTTGTAGTCTTAAAAGTAGAGTAAGATAGGAAAACAAACATGAAACTTTTGGTTTACCTTTACATTTTTTTAAATGTTTATTCAACCATGAGAGAGTCCATTGAGTTTGAAGGTCTGCTTTCCTAGGGCTCCTACCAAAAAAAAAAAAAAGGTAACCCAATGCCAGAGAAATATAGGCAGGCTAGATTCAGTTTCAACCGATTTTTACTTTAGTCACTATGTATATTAAATCTAAAATTGGAGGACAATATAGATGTGAACTCTAGTATGTTCAGTCATTAATCAGTTGAAAAAAATTGCCTGCATTGATAGGGTACTATCCCAAGTTGATGAATGTAGCAGTCAAATTAGTTTATATTTTGCCCCCAAAAATTCAACCTGAGGCAGAAACCAAGCCTGGGAAATTTCAGCCCAAATGGTGAATAAGCAATTGAAAACAGGGTGTTATTAAGAATAGCCCTTTCTATTATAATAGAATTCACAACCTCTGTTACTGTACTTTCCCTTAATACATACCTATTGTTTAATTAGTGTTTGGATGCTAGTGCAGCTTAAGGCAAACCCAGTAGTGACATGCAAGGAGTTTCTTTTTAATTGAAGATGGCAGGCTGGGGGCCCAAAGATTAACGTTGCCCATTTATACATAGAACAGGTACGTCTGAGCAGCATCAACGCTAGTTTTCTCATGCTTCCCTGCCAGCGTGTCTCAACTCTGTCCTGAAGGGACCATCACTTGGGTAGATCTATCTCCACTCCTAGGCAGTCATTGGCCTTGGTTGAGACAGCTGGCAATGGTGCAAATTATGAGGGTGGTTTCGTGATGTGGATATTGGTTCAGTAGAGATCGTCAGGTCATTTTACACCAGGTCACTGGAGGGTCATCAACAAAGCAGTGACAGGCACCATAACCCATGACTAGCCCCTGCAAGGAAATTTGCAGTTAAAGCTGTCACACTACACAATTGATTCAGCACCATGAGCGCTGGATAGGATGCAGTTTGAACCCCTCTGCACCTGTGGGTTCATCTGCATTAGTAGTGGGATTCACACCTTAGGGAAAGCAGGCCACTATATTGAATGAGCACATCTCCCAGGGGACTTGTCCCTCCTTGGCCAGCACCAATTGCTTCCCGGGCCATACACTGCAGAAGAGCAGGGGTTAGTATGAGCAGCTTTTGCTAGCTGGGGGAAGAGGGCATATTTTAGTTCTGTTGGTTGAAGTCAATGAAGCCCTTCACCTTTAGGGGATTTCTAAATGTAAGTCACATGCATTACAACCACAGATACAGTAAAGTGAGTTCATGACAGAAGAAAATTTAACTTTCATCTGATTTGCTCACTTATGTTTGACCATGAGGACCTAATTCTTGTGCTGAATTATCAATTGGGATTGTAAAGGAGTGCAAATCACTGCCAAAGTTTCAATGGGCTTTGTAAAAAGAACAGGCGTACTTGTGGCACTCAAAAGAACTCCTGTTCTTTTTGAGGATACAGACTAACACGGCTGCTACCCTGAAACCTGTCATTATGCAATGGGCTTTGTATGTTTTTTTAAAAAGTATCAAAACCTGTTCCTCATCTTAGGCCAGAAGGTTGCAAATGGAACCTTTCTGATACGCGTTCTATTTCTTTATGCTTTTGCAGAAAATCAAACTTTCTTAGAGTGTCAGCCACTGCTGTGCTAATTGGTCTGATATTCCTATCATTAGACTCAAACAACTATTATTAATATTTTGTAAGTGTTGACAATGTGCACAGTGACAGTAGCACTGGTATAAGACACACAACTAAAGTAATTTTCTTCTCTAAGGCTTATGGCCCCCCCCCCAGGGCCCCTGCAAATACTTATGCACATGCTTTGTTTCAAGCATAGGAATAGTTCAGTTGAGGACGAGTAACTGGGGGAAGATATTGAGTGCAATCAGAGAGATTATTTTAAGCTCTGTATTTGGCACTTGTGCAACTGCTGCTGGAATACCATGGCCAGTTCTCGTGCCCACGGTTAAAGAAAGATGTTAAATTGTAGATGGTTCAGAGAAGAGCCACAAGAATGATTAAAGGATTAGAAAACATGCCTTATAGTGATAGACTCAAAAAGATCAATCTATTTAGCTTAACAAAGTGAAGGTAATGGATGACTTGATTACAATCTGTAAGTATCTGCATGGGGAACAAATATTTAATAATGGACTCTTCAGTTTAGAAGAGAAAGGTACAACACAATCCAGGGGCTGGAAGTTGAAGCCAGACAAATTCAGACTGGAAATAAGGTGTAAACTTTTATGACTGAGAGTAATTAACCATTGGAAGAGCTTACCAAGG